TCCTGCCCACCCAGGGTCCTGGAAGGCCCCGGGGGTGTCGAGTGGCCCCACTCGCCCACCTCAGTATCTCTCCCTGCTCTCAGGTGCAGTGCTATTAATTTTGTCTCACTTTATTGGTGTTTGACACACAGAGAGAAGAGCTCAGAGCCACACACTCCTGTGAAGGAGACCACAGGGGGACCCGCGGCTGAGGCCGGAAGGAGGGATGGTTTCCCGGCCGCTGGGCCAGCAGGCCTGCAGGAGGGGCAGATGGACAGCAGGGGGCGGCCTTGGGCTCACTGCTGGTAAGTGCCCAGGTTCAGTCTATACACACACATCAGCCAGAAGATACAGATGATCAGGGACACGCAGATCCAGAAGTCCTCGGAGGCCTGGGCTCCTGACCGGCGAGACGACCTTCTAGAATGGAAGTCTTCCTCCCGGCGGGGACCGCAGCTGGACTTGCCAGACCTGGACCTCAGCCGCCTTCTCTTGTAGTGGTCGGAGGAGACGGCACCGACGCACTGGGGGGCGCTGGCAGAGGGGCCGGAGCCCCTGCCTGGCCAGAGGCTGAAGACCGAGAAGGGGACGCTGATGGCCCCCTCTCGAATGGAGAGGAGGCTGCGGGCGCTGTTCTCCAGAGCAGCGTCCCGGCCTGCAGCAGCCGGGCCCCGTCTGTCTCCCTTCTCTGTGGAGGAGTCCTTGTCAGCGCTGAAGGAGAAGGGGAAGGTGACCAGGCCCTCCTCGCTGCGGGCCCCGGGGCCGGAGGGGCTGCTCTCCGGAGGCGGGCGGTGGCCTCCCGCGGCGGGGCTCCGGCCGCCGTCCTCCTGCACCGCGTCCTTGGCGATGCTCAGGACAGGGGCCTTGCCTCTGAGGGTGTCCGCTAAGGTCGAGGGGAGGGCCAGGGCGCCCTCCCCACTGGCCGTGAGCCCAATGGTGTAGAACCCGGGGGACAGAGCTGTCTCAGGGACGGCAGGGCCGTTGCTGACGGAGATGGGGCCCTGACCCTTGGCCACGCCGACAGAGCTGGGCACAGAGTCCCGGCCTCCAAACAGAAAACCTCTGAGCTCAAAGGTCTTCACCATGTTGCCCAGAAAACTTTGGTCATGGAAGATGGGAGCTCTGACATTCACCAGGACCCCTCGGCCGCCGGGCCCGGCCGCGGAGCTCCCGGACAGGTAGATGGAGCCCCGGCCTATCACCGGCGGCCTGTTGCCACCAGCGGCCGGGACGGCGCCCTCGCCGGGGATGGCACAGCCAGGGCCGCGGCCGGCACCCACGAGGGTGAAGGGGACGATGACAGTGCAGGTGTCCTCGTTGAGGACAGCACTCTCCTCGGAGGAGGGGTCCTCGGAGAAGCCCACCACCAGCAGGGGTACAGTGAGGGGCCTGCGGCCATGACCCCCGGGGCCCGGGGCCGCGTGGCGGCTGCCGGAGGGGAGCAGCCGCTGGCCCTCGGCACGGGCGGAGGAGCTGTGTGGCACAGGCCCCCTTTGGAGGAAGCAGACCCCCCGATCGCAGGCCTCGCAGCAGCCCCCCGGGAAGGCCTCGGGGCGCCGCTCCGGGCCCGGGGTGTCCCCGTAGCACTTCTGTAGAATGTACAGGACCAGTTGGCCCAGGAAGGCCCGGACGTCCCCGGGGCTGACCTGGCATTCCCTGAGGGTGTCCGGGGGACACAGCTGGCACGGCTGGCCCTGCACACACATCCTCACCAGCCCCCGGCCCCCGGCGCCGTCCCACCGCACGTGGAACAGGATGTGCACGTGGGCCGAGCCCCAGGTCCACGGGCAACGGCCACACTGGAGCCTGCGGAGAGAAAGCAGACACATGAACACAGGGGAGGGACTGGAGCCGCTGTGGAGGCCCCACTGCTGGGCCCCTCGGCGCCGGGCTCGGCCTCCTGGCCCCTGGAGCCTCACCACCCCAGCCCACATCCCACACTCAAACCTCAAACCTCAACGCTCGTCTGCCAGCCAGCCAGGGCCAGGGCCCAGGCGGCCCAGCCCCTGCTCTCGCTGTTCACAGGCTTTGCCGCCCTGAGTCCCTTGTCTGCACATGCAAAGAGCAGATCTGCATCTCTGCACCTGCAGCACAGAGCATCAAAGGCTGGAAAGCAAATGCCTGCTCGTGGGTTTGGTGCCCGGCACACGGGTCCCCTGGGGCTTCCGCTGCCAGGTGACTCAGGAGGAGATGTGTCAGAGGTGGCCCTGGGGTCAGGCCCAGCCTGGACACAAGGATCTGTGGACCCCAGGTTCCCCACTGGTCCAGAGAAGAGGCGATGTGGCCAGTCAGGTAGCTCAGGCCCTCTCAGAACAGCACTGAGAGGTGACCCATGGTGGACACAGAGAGTGAGCCCATGTGAACTTTGCTGAGGTGAACGAGCCAGCCGTCCATTGAAACAAAACCCCCAAATTCAGGACCCCACAAGAAAGGAGCTGGAAGCCTAGCACCCAGCTCAAGACTGTCACCCTGGACACCCAGGAAAGCCAGACTGAGCAGACTAGCCTCCAATTAGCCAGCAAAATACTAGACTGAAGGCATTGCTCAAGTGGTAGAAAATCCCAGCTGTAAGCAAGAAAGCTGAGAGAGAGTGCGCGTCCCTGAGCTTCACCCCTGGAATCCAGAAAGGAGGAAGGGAGGGGAGGAGCAAGGCACCATGCCACGGGTCTGTGTTCCCGTCCTGTGCTCTTTCTCCCGGCTCATCTCCAGTCATCATGGCGTCGGAGAGCTGAATTGGTTAGTGGGTATTGTTTCTGTTCTTTCTTTCCTCTCTGGCCTGTTTCCTAACTGTGTGAAGGGTATTTGAGGGCTGCCGGCCTTTGTTACAATGGGCGGCCTGCAGGCTGCTAACTAAGTAATAAAGACCAAGATTCAACCTGTCACAATGCAGCTTCTCTGATAATTTACCTTACGACTCATGGCAGTTGACATTGGAAAGCAGAGCAACTGATCAAGTCAAGGTCAACAGCAAAACTATTGCTGCCAAGAAATACATGACTTTCACAGTCTAGCATGAAGGGTGTCTCTTTGTACTTTACAGAATTCATTTCTTTGATCCTTTTATAATATCTTTAAGTAGTTGTACACAGACTTTTTATGAAAAAGGAAAACCATCATCTCCTGGGTAATGCTCATTGTGATACCCTTGTAATCTACTCACAGCAATTTTTATTGTGGTCTATAATCAAATATCACTTGGAAAATAACTTGGTACAAATTGCTATAACTAAGGAAATTGAAGCTTATGAATTATATATGTGTTTGTGATTAAATGCAATTTATTGGAAAAAGAAACAAATTAAAAAAGCAAAATAAAAGAGGGAATAGAAGGGGAAAGAAAGGAAGGAAGAAAGAGAGAGAGAAAGAAAGAAAGAAACAAACAAACAAACAAACAAAGAGAAAGAGAAAAAAGGAAGGAAGGAAGGGAGGGAGGGAGGGCGGGCGGGGGAGGGAAGAGAACCACTGGGTGGTGGTGTCCTGGGCAGCCTCTGGCGATACTGGCCCTGTCCTCAGCTTCGCTGGAGGTGCTGCTGGTAAGAGGAAGATCAGCACAGGGAGACTCTCCACGCTGCCGCAGCGCCCCGGGCCGGGTGGCTGGCTGCCCCACGGCCGCTCTGGGTCCCCAAACACGTGGCCACTCCCTGAAGCATTGACATGGCTACACGTTCCAGAGCATCTATGTTCCCCATAGGCCCTGCTTTAGGGCTGTCCGGTGGAACTTTCTGGGTGGTGGATCTGCTCCACCCCACCTTAACAACACCCTTCAAGCTCAGGCGCTCACAGAGCACACAAGCTCGGTTTGTGCTAAGGACCTGGGCTTCTCTGGTATTGAGTGTAGCTGAGCCTCTCCCAGAAGCACGGGTGGTGGTGTAGGCCTCTGTGGCCGTGTGCTCAGGCCCCGGCGCCGTGGCAGCTCCAGGGCTGCGGGGCCTCTGCTCACCTTCCCTGGACTCAGAGGAGTCACAGGACCTGAGGAGGCCAGCGGCAGACCCTCACCTGCCCCCGGTGGGGGGTCCAGACCTGGAGGTGCCCACTGAGCCCGTGAGAGAAGCACTGGCAGCACCTAGAGGGCCTGGCTGGCCCGGCCGCGGGCAGCCCCCAGTGGCCAGCGGGGCGAAGGGCCTGAGGAGCCAGCTCCTCTGCACTGACCAGTGTTGTGGTCATGGAGCGGTCCTTGACCCCCCAGGCTGTGGTCTGGGGCCCTCCCCACCCAGCAGCCTGGCGGAGAGAGCCCCCCCGTCCCCCTCCTGCCCAGGCCTCAACAGCTGGAGCAGGGCCATCCTCTGGCTGGTCACTAAGGCTAGTGAAGTGACGGCTCCACCTGTGTGTGACACAGACCCCCTGTGTGTGACACAGAGCTCCTAGTGTGTGTGTGACACAGACCCCCTGTGTGTGACACGGGGCTCCTAGTGTGTGTGTGACACAGACCCCCTGTGTGTGACACGGGGCTCCTAGTGTGTGACACAGGCTCCACCTGTGTGTGACACAGACCCCCTGTGTGTGACACGGGGCTCCTAGTATGTGACACGGACCCCACCTGTGTGTGACACAGGCCCCACCTGTGTGTGACACAGAGCTCCTAGTGTGTGTGTGACACAGGGCTCTTAGTGTGTATGACACGGGGCTCCATGTGTGTGTGACACAGGCCCCACCTGTGTGTGACACAGGGCTCCTAGTGTGTGTGTGACACGGGGCTCCTAGTGTGTGACACAGGCCCCACCTGTGTGTGACACAGAGCACCTAGTGTGTGTGTGACACAGACCCCACCTGTGTGTGACACAGGCCCCCTATGTGTGACACAGACCCCACCTGTGTGTGACACAGAGCTCCTAGTGTGTGTGTGACACGGGGCTCCTAGTGTGTGACACAGGCCCCCTGTGTGTGACATGGGGCTCCTAGTGTGTGTGTGACACAGACCCCACCTGTGTGTGACACAGGCCCCCTATGTGTGACACGGGGCTCCTCGTGTGTGTGACACGGGGCTCCTCGTGTGTGTGACACAGGGCTCCTCGTGTGTGTGACACGGGGCTCCTAGTGTAACACGGGGCTCCTCGTGTGTGTGACACAGACCCCACCTGTGTGTGACACAGGCCCCACCTGTGTGTGACACGGGGCTCCATGTGTGTGTGACACGGGGCTCCATGTGTGTGTGACACGGGGCTCCTCGTGTGTGTGACACGGGGCTCCACGTGTGTGACACAGGGCTCCTCGTGTGTGTGACACAGGGCTCCTCATGTGTGTGACACAGGGCTCCACGTGTGTGTGACACAGGGCTCCACGTGTGTGACACAGGGCTCCTCGTGTGTGTGACACGGGGCTCCTCGCGTGTGTGACACGGGGCTCCTCGTGTGTGTGAAACGGGGCTCCTTGTGTGTGTGACACAGGCCCCACCTGTGTGTGACATGGAGCTCCACGTGTGTGTGACACGGGGCTCCACGTGTGTGTGACACAGGGCTCCTAGTGTGTGTGACACAGGGCTCCTAGTGTATGTGACACGGGGCTCCACGTGTGTATGACACGGGGCTCCACGTGTGTGACATAGGGCTCCTAGTGTGTGTGACACAGGCCCCACCTGTGGGTGGCAGGGTCCCTGTGGGTGGCAGGGTCCCTGTGGGTGGCAGGGTCCCTGTGGGTGGCAGGGTCCCCTGTGGGTGGCAGGGCACCCCTGTGGGTGGCAGGGCACCCCTGTGGGTGGCAGGGTCCCCCTGTGGGTGGCAGGACACCCCTGTGGGTGGCAGGGTCCCTGTGGGTGGCAGGGCACCCCTGTGGGTGGCAGGGTCCCTGTGGGTGGCAGGACACCCCTGTGGGTGGCAGGGTCCCTGTGGGTGGCAGGGTCCCCCTGTGGGTGGCAGG